AAAAGGACAAAACCCTGCGACCTTGCATTGACTACAGGGGACTTAATGACATTACCATCAAAGACAGGTACCCTCTTCCATTAATCTCCTCTGCTTTTGAACTGCTACAAGGGGCTACCATTTTCTCCAGACTCGACCTCCGCAACGCTTATCACTTGGTGAGAATCAGGGAGGGTGATGAGTGGAAAACAGCCTTTAATACTCCTAATGGTCATTATGAGTATTTGGTCATGCCATTTGGTCTCACTAATGCCCCTGCAGTCTTCCAGGGTTTAGTCAATGATGTTCTGCGGGATCTACTCGATGTGTCTGTTTTCGTGTATCTGGATGACACTCTAATTTTTTCTAAGTCCAGGCAGGAGCATGTGATGCATGTACGCCAGGTTCTCCAGAGGCTCCTGGAGAACCAGCTCTTTGTTAAAGCAGAGAAGTGCGTGTTTCACGCTTCAGAAGTATCCTTCCTGGGGTTCATTATCAACGCTGGCAACATCCGGATGGACCCGGCCAAGACCAAGGCAGTCGCTGACTGGCCAGCTCCATCCACACGCAGGGAGCATCAGAGCCTCCTGGGATTTGCTAATTTTTACCGAAGGTTCATTCGCAATGACAGTTCCGTGGCAGCTCCCCTCACCGCCCTCACCTCCCTCAGTAAGCCCTTCCGGTGGTCCTCCGTGGCTGAAGCGGCTTTCGGTGAATTGAAGTCGCGCTTCACCTCTGCTCCCATTCTCATTTTTGCAGATCCTGCTCGCCAGTTTATCATGGAGGTGGATGCCTCGGACACCGGTGTAGGGGCAGTTCTTTCTCAGCGGTCGGCTGAGGACCATAAAGTTCATCCATGTGCTTTCTTCTCCCGAAAACTAGATCCAGCAGAGAGGAATTACGACATTGGGAAGCGGGAGCTGTTGGCAGTAAAGCTTGCACTAGAGGAATGGAGACATTGGTTGGAGGGGGCAGAGCAACCATTTGTGGTTTGGACTGACCACAAAAACTTGGAATACATTCGAGCAGCCAAGAGACTGAACTCTCGTCAGGCTAGGTGGGCTCTCTTCTTCAACCGTTTTGACTTCTCTCTATCTTACAGAGCAGGCTCCAAAAACGTCAAGCCCGATGCTCTGTCCCGTCAGTTCCAGTCAGAGGATTCTCCATCCCCGCCTGAAGGTATCCTCCCCCCTACACGCGTCATCGGGCGGTAACCTGGGAGGTGGAGAAGAAGGTAAAACGCTCCCACACTGAACACCCTGCTCCTAGTGCTTGTCCAGAGAACCGGTTGTTTGTTCCTGACAGTCTCCGTTCGGAGGTCCTCCAATGGGGGCACTCTTCTCGTCTAGCTTGCCATCCTGGGGTGAGACGCACTTTAGCCCTGCTTCGTCAACGCTTCTGGTGGTCTTGCATGGAAAGGGACACAAGGGACTTTGTTGCTGCTTGCCGTGTCTGCTCTCAACATAAGAGCTCTCACCAAGCTCCATCCGGTCTCCTTCATCCTCTGCCAGTTCCTCACCGCCCCTGGTCTCACATTTCTTTGGACTTTGTCACCGGCCTACCACCTTCAAACGGTAACACAGTTATACTCACTGTTATTGATCGCTTTTCCAAAMCTGCCATGCTCATTCCATTACCCAAATTACCTACCGCCAAGGAAATGGCTGAAGTTTTGTTGCAACATGTGTTCCGGCTGCATGGCCTCCCATCTGATGTGGTCTCTGACCGGGGACCACAATTCACATCTCACTTTTGGTCCGAGTTTTGCAGGATGTTGGGGGCTACTGTCAGTTTGTCATCTGGTTTCCACCCACAATCCAATGGTCAAGCAGAACGCATGAATCAGGAAATGGAGACAGCTCTHCGCTGCCTTACTTCCCACAACCCCTCCTCCTGGTTGAGTACGCCCATAATACCCTGCCCAGTTCAGCCACTGGTCTTTCACCCTTCCAATGCTCCCGGGGGTACCAACCACCACTCTTTCCAGAACAGGAACGTGAAGCCAGCGTCCCCTCAGTTCAGGCATATGTCCGACGGTGTCGGCGCACTTGGATGCAGGCCCGCACCACACTCCTGCGCTCTTCTGACCGTTACCAGCGATCGGCCTATCAGCATCGCAATCCTGCACCCCGGTACACTCCATGACAACGCGTCTGGCTATCGACACAAGATCTTCCCCTCAGAGTAGACTCCAAGAAGTTGGCTCCTCGTTTTGTTGGCCCATTCCTGATCTCTAAAATAATTAATCCTGCGGCTGTCCGTCTTCGTCTTCCATCTTCCATGAGGATTAACCCCACATTCCATGTTTCCAAGGTCAAACCTGTCAATGAGAGTCCACTTCAGTCCTCCTCCAAACCCCCACCACCCCCCCGGCTCATTGATGGGGCACCTGCYTACACTGTCKGTCGTCTCATCAAAWSCAGGCGACGTGGTAGGGGAGTGCAGTATCTGGTTGACTGGGAGGGTTACGGCCCCGAAGAACGCTCCTGGGTCCCTGCTCGCAGCATCCTGGATCCATCTCTCATTACAGACTTCCACCGGGCTCATCCTTAGCAACCGGGTGGGACGGCGGGGGCCGTCCCTAGAGGGGGGGTTCTGTAACGTAGTTACACTATCTCTTAGTTTGTTTTTGATGTTTGGTTCCATGTCACGTCACTAACTCTTCTGTCATTTCAGGGCCTGCCTTTCTTCCCTGCCTTCCAATCATCGCATTTCCCTCACTTGGTTTTCCCCGCCCACCTCCTCACCTGCAGCCTATTTGCTCATTAGTTCCTCTGTATAAATACCACTCATTTTCACTCGCTCCCTGCCAGATTGTCWAGTGTGTTCCCGCCTAGCTATCCCGCGTTATCTTCTGTATTCTTGCCTGCCTGTTCCTGACCTGACTGCTACCCCATTTGGATTCTGGATTCCCTTCTTGCCTGCCCCTTCGGACTTGTTTGATGTACGGACTGATATCCCGGTTTTGACCCCTGCCTGTCTTTTCTCTGCCTGTCGGTAATAAACCACGTTGCCCAAACCAAGATTGTCTGTCGGCGTGCTTTTGGGTTCTCCCTTGCCTGCACCAGTGTGCGTGACAGTAGAGGTAGTAATGCTTGCATAAGGTCACTGTCTTAATAAGATGCCAAAGACTATCTTTTTTAAAGAGCCTTGAGTTTTCTTTTGTGAGAGTAGGATGCTTAACAGCTTAGAAAAAAATTTTCTGTTGCATTACTGCATCTACAGTATTTGGCTGGAACTGAGGATAATCGAATACTAGGAAATAGCTGGGTAGGCAAACTATAAATGCAAGTTGCAATTATTATTGAGCAATGTCCTACGTAGTCTTCTGAAAGAATATTCAATATGCAGGGCTGCTGTATGAAGAGGGAAGTACCATTGTCTTGGCGGTGGCTGAAAGATTTATAATCTTTTTTATTTTATTTATTTATACATTTTACGATTACCTGAGTATTTCTGCGTTGCAGTGCCGATGGATTAATGTGAATATGGTAAATGAAGGATCATCAGATGGGCCCCTCATGGCCCCTCATTCTCCATCTCCTTAGACAGTAACTTGTCAATCTTATTTATTTATTTTTAATGCTGATAGGAGATTATTACAGGCTTGTAATACTTTTGGCAGAACGCTTGAACCACCGAAAACCTTGGACTGGACCAGTCATTAAATAATGAACAAAACGTGATTTGAGTGCTTCTTTAGAGCTTTGCCAAGCTCTGATACATTAAACACTTATCTTTTGAGAGTGTGCGCGATGGCATGCAGCCTGGAGAAGCTGTCTCCGCAATACTGCACGGGTTTGTTTACAAAGCTGAAGAGACGCTGCAGCAGCAGGTGGGAAGAATGAGATGAAGTTGTAGGAATTGCAGTTCCCAGAATTATTTGCGGCTTGACGTCGATTAGCAGCGCTATGGCCATGCTCACGGCAAAAACAGCAGACGCCCTGGATGCAGTGTTGAAGTTTATGGAGAGTTGTCTCATTTTCCCCAGACATGGAGGTGGTCGTCCGTCTCGCTGAGGGAGGGCTGGTTGTTCATCAGTATGCGAGGACCAGGTCTTGAGCAGCCAGTGCAGCACCGGGCACCGCGGCAATGTGCTTTATTTTTGCTGTAGCTTTGTTTGGAGTGGAGGAGGGTGTGACTGGAAAAGTTCTTCGTGACTGACTTCTTTTGCGGCTGTAGAGGCCGATGAGGGATCATTCGTCTGTCCAGAGATGCGGCATGAGTAGGTGAGTAGAGTGACAAGCAAAGCAACGCTTTTAGTGATCATAATCGTGCTTCACAAGTTAGCAAGTTGCCGGCAGTAGGCGTGGGTGGCAGTGTAGCTGAGCAGGGATCAGTGAGGATGAGGTCGTATTTAAAGGGACCGCTTTGGTGAGAGAATGGGCTGTGATTGGTGGCTGGCTGACGAGCACCAATAACCTATCCGTAGCTGACAGCTGAGCACATGACTCTGTGTCCGGCATGATCTAACGCAATGCTTCATGAGTGACAGTTCTCACTTAGACAGAAGTAAACCAGCTGAAGTGACCTTCCTCAACTTTGTGACGCCTGAAGCCTGCTTATTGCTTCTTTCAAATTGAACTTTGGCATATTAAGCTTCCTTCCTCTTATGGAGCTGCTTCTTCCTGTTGAGCCACTTCTTATTGAGGTGCTTCCTCTTATAGAGCTGCTTCTTCTTATTGAGGTATTTCCACCTGTTGAGCTACTTCCTCCTATTGAGGTGCTTCATGTTATTGAGCTGCTTCATGTTATTGAGCAGCTTCTTCCTATTGAGCTGTTTCATCTTATTGACCTGCTTTTTCCTATTGAGCTGCATCCTTTTATTGGGCTACTTCCTCCTATTGAGCTGCTCCTCCTAATAAATAAAGTGACTATACTTGGAATAGTTATTTGACCAATGCTCAGGTTGATTAAATTACTATACCATTATAATATGACCAAGCACCCTTTTTTAGAATACTGGTTTGTGTATGGTTTAATATAAAACAAAACTGAGCTAAAAGCTCCTTGCCTGGTTTCCTCATTGTATACATGTTCGAGGACAGAGGCAGCATACTCCAGATTTTTCTTCAGGTCCACCACAGATGCCTCCCCCCTCTCCAGTTGCTTAACAAGACATCTCAACCTGCAATACACACACCACACCTACCTTATTTAAATAATGCCACATGTTTGATTTGCAGTGATAATAATAATAAGGCAGGAAGGGAAGACACAATTTGTTTCATTACAAATGCCCCTTACACTGAAATAATGTTTGTAGTTAAAATCTTCAACCTTCACCCAGAATTAAAAAAGGGTGGATGGATGGATGGATGGAACTTAACAATCATGTTAACCATGAATACTTAAATGAATTATGGACAAATTATTTTGGCATCTTAAATTAACAATTATTTAGAATATGTCACCAGGCCACTTCTGTGACAGTGGCTGGGTGATAAATGCAGATATTACATAAGACCAGGGGTTGGTCAAAAAACAGAATCTTAACACACTCCAAATAATAATGCACATGTCTAGTTGGGGGAGCAAAAGTCCAAAAATCAAATATAGTAGCAAGGGTCAAACATGAAAAAGCTACATAAGGAAGAACGCAAAAGATACATACAGTGTACATACCAGGGCAACTGTGACAATGTGGCTGGCTAACAATGAAAAGGATAAGTTAGACAAGATGTCTCTGGAAAGGAAACACATGGGCAGGAACTAATCAGCTAATGAAGTCAACAGCAACTTTTGGATCTGAGCCCTTACATCAAGACAGAGGAAGCCTGGTGTCAGTATAGGAGATTAAATTAACCTATCAGCTGTGGCCCCTGATTTATGGGCAAGCCATTGGCCAAAAACAACAAGAAAAAAATGTGTATCTTGATATTATATTGTGTGGCACCATGGCCTGTCAGCTGACTGATTAATTGCCATTCATGCCAGAGAAGATAAAAGCTAGTCATGCATCCTGAGTGGGCCATGTTCAAAGCCTCCACTACAGAGGAGGGCAAATGTGGTCACGTGGTCATTGGTGCGTGTCAAGGTGGTAACCTACTGGAGGAAACCAGCTCGGAACCAACTGAAGGAGGTCTTTAGGGCTTGTTTGGCAGAGGGGCCTCCTGAGGCATCAAGCAGGATTCAGAGGGCCAGAAGTTGCAAAAACAAACAGGGTTTCATGGAGGCTGTAGAGAAGAACTTTTGGTTGGCTCCAAAGAAATTCTGGCAAACCATTCAATGACTCAGTTATGGTAAGCATGGTTTGGTCCAGAGGAGGAGAACTGCTGATCCAGACTAGCAGAATGCACTTTGAGTACCTCCTAAACCCATTCATCAGGTCTGAAGACTCAGTAAAAGTCTCACCTGTATCCCTAACAGAGGTAGCTAATGTAGTCAAGAGGCTGGTTGTGGATGAGATTAGCCCTGAAACCAAGAAGCCGTTGGGCTGTTGTGGCTGACACATCTCTTCACTGTAGCATGTACAATGAGGACAGTACCTGTAGCAGAGTAGCAGACCAGAATATTTTTTTAAAAGGGGGGCCACAGGGTGTGCTCCAAGTACTGGGGTACAAAGCAACTCGTACACTGTTTAGCCTTCCAAGCAAACTACTCCAGGGTTCTGGTAATTTTCACCAAGTGGACCAGCATGTAAATGACCAGTCAGTCTACATGTACCTTCTTTACACATTTCAGCTGCATTTAAAAATGGTTGTTGAATGTGATAAAATGTTTCAAATGGCTCTGAAATACAAAAATAGAAAAGTTAATAGTTTTGTTAATATTTTTTAACCTAACCTCAATTGTAAATTTCACTGGAACATGGTTCCTTTGATTATTTAAAACCCAGATGTGATATATTATACCTGAGAGCAGTCTTCTCCATAGCGTCAGGTGCATCAGGGAATGGCAGCTCATCAGCCAGGATCTCCTCAGCACTGCGTGGGCTGATCAGAATTCCTTTGTGGTCAGTGATGTCATTGCCAGCTCTGATAGTTGTGCATAGTGCATTCTGGGACCATGAACCTAAACAATTTCCATACAAACAATTAATCTTTTCTCAGTTTTACACAGTTTTGTATTTTAAACCACACTTTCCCGTTATAACTATCTTTATTGCGCCCCTGATGATAATGATACCTGGGACCTGTACTATGAAACAAGTTCTGTTTACCCGGGATATCTCTGTTATCTGGCTGAATTAACCCAACAAACACAGTCAGGTTAGGTGGTTACATGACGCTGGATATCAACTTAATAAGCCAAGTCAGGTTTTCCCACTCTAGATATGAGTGTATGCACATAAAAGGGGAGGGTTCTACTGGCAGCAGAGATGCATGTTCCACAATGAGATAAACCACTATATGAGAAAAATACAAGGACAAAGACATTATCCAGAATAAAAGAAACACAGATACATCTGGCAAAGAATCACAGGTTGTGTAAATGTGTCAATGTTTTATGGTAAAATTGTCCTATTATTAGGGCAAGAGTAGATCTGAGGATCATTTTGTTTGTGTTTCCATTACATTAATACGTTGGTTATATTTATTCACACTGTGTGTATGACAGTTTTTAGATTTATTCTTTCAGGTGCAACCCCGGTGGGTTCAAACTTGGGGGCAAATAAAGAATCATCACCAACAGTAAACAAGCAACTCCCACAAGCAAAGAAACCTAGGACAATGCATACAGCTGTACTGTGTGCACATCATTCCTTCTTGACGGGTTGATCATGTTTGGCTCCAGCAGCTGGCAAAGGAAAATCATTCCCTCTGATGAGAATGTATGTCTTTGATATTGATACTCATCAGAGTAGGCAAATGGATTATGTCAGACACAACAAGCTCCACGGGATCCTCTTAGAACAGTGATGTCATATTTCAAAGGAATTCATTAGTCAGTGGGTGGTGCTTCTACACTTGGTTGATCTCTTATCTTGAACTGAAACGTTTAAGATGGAGCCGCGTGAGTGGCAGTATGTTACAGCAGCTCTCGCTCACATTTGAGCTTTTCCCCATTTTTATATTTATTTTTTTTACTTTTTAACTGTTCTTTTTTACTTTTCTTTGGAGCTCTCTCTCCAGTCAGTATGGAGACCAGACTAGTTTTTCTCGCTCTGGTCTTAATACTTCTTTTTTCAACGTTTCCGCCATGTCCGGGGAGCCTGTATGCTGCCCTATTGTTTACAGTAGGGATCAGCTGTTGGCCCTCAGTAGCGCAGCGGTGCCGCCACACGAGTGGCCCGATGTCCCCTGCGAGCTGAAGAGGAGGAGATGTGGGAGCTGTTCGCCGTAGCAGGAAGAGTCGCTACAGACCCGTCCTTCCATCTTTCATCATGGGGAACGTGAGATCTCTCCCCAATAAGATGGACGAGCTAACGGCGCTGACCCGGCATCAGAGGGACTACCTCGAGTGCAGCATCCTGGTGCTCACTGACACGTGACTGACGGCGCTGACCCCGGACACGAACGCTAACCTGGACGGCTTTCAACTGCAGCGGGCAGACAGGATGACAGAGAGCGGTAAGAGTAAAGGAGGAGGGCTGGCTGTAGAGCTCACTGCAGACACGGCACCCACAGGCCCTCTTCCTCATCTCTGGAGACTTCAATCATGCCTCTCTGTCCTCCACCCAGCCCACTTTCAAACAATATGTCACCTGCAACACCAGAGACAATACAACACTGGACTTATTTTATGCCAATAGCAAGGAGGCATACAACTCATCCCCCCTCCCTCCCCTGGGAAGATCTGATCACAACCTGGTGCATCTCCTGCCTGTTTACAAGCCCCTTGTTAACAGGCAACCAGTGGAAACCCACACAGTTAAGACATGGACTGAGGAGTCTGAAGAGGCTCTGAGGGACTGCTTGGACTCAACTGTGTCAGAAGAACTGTGTGTTTCTCATGGGGAGGACATCGACAGTTTAACAGGCTGCATAAAGGACTATATAAACTTCTGTGTTGATAACACTGTACCCACCAGGACTGTACAGTGTTTTTCTAACAGCAAACCCTGGATTAATCCTGACATAAAGGCTCTACTTAAGGAGAAAAAGAGGGCCTTTAGGTCAGGCAACAAGGAGGAGCTGAAGGCTGTGCAGAAAGAGCTGAGGAAGAAGAGAGGGGAAGAACAGCTACAGGAGGAAAATGGAGTACCTGCTGCAGCAGAGAAACGTCAGTGGAGTCGGGAAAAGCCTTAAAACAATCTCAGGGCAGAGGAAACAAGACTCCCAGGCTGCGGAGGATCAGACGTGGGTGAACGACCTGAACCTATTCTTCAACAGGTTTGACCAGACACCCACCCTCCCCCGGCCCAGTAATCTCTGCTGCCCCCCACCACCTCTTCCATCCCCCTGTTTCCTACCCCATTCTTACCTCTACCTCCCTCTCCACTGTATTCATGTTGCAGACTCCCTCCACTGCCCCCCCTGAAATTCACCCTCTCCCCCCATCTGACACTCAGCCCCCCTGCTCCACTCTGTCCCTCTCATCTCTCCAGGTGAGAAATTAGTTGAGGAAGATGAAGGTGAAGAAGGCTATGGGTCCAGATGGGATCAGCTCCAGGCTCCTCAAGTCCTGTGCAGACCAGCTGTGCAGGATTGTGGAGTACATCTTCAACATGAGCCTGAAGCTGGGAAAAGTGCCACTGCTATGGAAAACCTCCTGCGTGGTACCAGTGGGGACCAGTTCACATGAACAATAAACTGGACTGGACCTGCTCTGGAGTCAGTTAGAAGTCAAGCATACATTACCATGGTGATTTACCCTGATAAGAAATGAACAAGCTTCATAGGACTGAAATCTTTGAGTTAAACCTGAAGTTGCCCCGATAACAGCAAATCCTGCTTCGTAGTAAAGGCCCATTAGGCTGAATTGGAAATTGAAAATGGCAACGGCTGATGAACTTACGAGCAAAGCGGGCCAGTGGACAGCGGGTGTCTTCTCCCACCTCATTAGCAACTGGAAAGCGAAGAATTAGAATTTATTTTATGATGACAGTTGTCAGAAATTCAAAGATTTATGCATGTATATGTCAACACAAATATTTAAGCTTCTTTTCACGCAAGTATTTAGATTATGTTTGATTGACATCTCCAACACTCTCACTATTGCACCTAAACTTTGTTCTATAGGGTACAACTTCAACCTGCACAAAGAATCAATTCAATTTTATTTGAATAGCTCCAAATCATAATATATACATATATATTCCACTGTAGAGAAACCCAACAGTTCCCACAATGAGCAAGCACTGTGGGGAGGAAAAACTCCCTCATAAACAGGGAGAAACCTCTGGCAGAACCAGGCTCAATGTGGGCGGTCATCTGCCTCGACCGGTTGGGGTGAGGAAAGAAAAGTAAGGGGGGAGGAAAGGAGAGGTGGGTGGAAGAGAGAGAGTGGGGATGGAGTAGAGAGACCAGGAACAGTAGTGTAACCATCATGTTTCAGCTCTCTCTGTCAGACTGGTTGTCAGTAAAAATGATTGTCAGGAACACTTTGTCATGATTAACCCATTTGTTGCAAATGGGCATATAGTTATGATTGGTGCTGAAGGCTCCATTCTTTGGATGTTTCCTGGATTAGCCGAGCAGTGTGCTAAAATAAAACAGGGAACATGTGCAGAACCCCAAAACAATGGAACCCCAACATCAAGCAAGAATGATGATATCTCTATGTGGCAATACCAGTTGAACTGCAAGTGGCAGATCATGTGACGAGAGTAAGTGCAGCAGCAAGCATGCTGCTGACCTCTGAAATGTTTTAAAGAATGCAGGCATGCGTTCTTCAAGAGGTTGTACTACAGTGATATGGAATATCTGTGTGTGGTAGCAAGCAAATAACTGAAAGATTTGCTGTTCAGTTATTAGCACTCATGGTTATTTTAGCTGAAATTTGAACAGAGATCAATAAAAGCAGGGTTGCTTCATTATCACGGAATTGATTTGTTTCCTAGACCAGATTTGCCCCAGAGATGCAAGCAACAATAATAGGATATAATTCTGACAAGCAGTGGGTTGACGTAAGAGGGAAGATCAAGCATTTCTTTGGCCAATAGTAGATCAACCAAAACTGATGGAGGGAGCAGCATCAGTAAAGAATCTCTCTTGTTGTAAATAAAAATAAAAAAATAAATAAAAAAAATAAAAAAATAAATATATATAAATGTATGTTATAAGTAGTTATATATGCTCTTCTGCTTTACACACAGCAGTGAAAATTGTATTTATTCTGAATCGACTCTATGTTCTATTACAAAATCATGCGATTTTTACACAATTTGTTGGAGGTCCATTAATCTAGAGATAAGTGATCTACCATGGGCAATGATATGCATGGCGAAATTAAAATGACCCAATTGAGATGAAGTTCCATTTTGGTAATGGATGCTGTATCTGGCGCAATTATCATGGCTTCTCTAATTCGCACTGGCTTTTGTAGAGGTAGTGATACTTGCATAGGGTCGATGTCCTAATAAGATGCCTAAGACTATCTTTTTTAAAAAGCCTTGAGTTTTCTTTTCTGAGAGCGGGACACTTGACAGTTTAAAAACATTTTTTTGTTGTGTTAATGCATCTTTTTAGATGGGACTGAAGATAATCGAATACTAGGAAATAGTCAGGTAGGTGAATGACAAATGCAAGTTGCAATTATTATTGTGCAATATCCTACATAGGCTATTGAAAGAATATTGAATATGCAGGCTGTTGTACGACAGGCAGAAACACCATTGTCGTGGCCGGGGCTGTATATATATATATATTACGTTTACCTGACTATTTCTGCATTCCCGATGGATTTATGCGAATATGGGAATGAAGGATCATCAGATGGGCCGCTCATGGCCCTTCTCCATCTCCTTAGACAGTAACTTATTATTTATTTATTTTATAAAGCTGATAGGAGATTATTACAGGCGTTTAACACTTGAACCAGAACGCCTGAACCACCAAAAAACCTTGGACCGGACCAATCATTAAGCAATTAACAAAACGCCATTTGAGTGCTTCTTTAGAGCTTTGCCAAGCTCTGATACGTTACACACTTATCTTTTGAGAGTGTGCATGATGGCATGCAGCCTGGAGAAGCTGTCTCTGCACTGAATATGATTACTGTACTCGAGGACCGGGTCTTCAGCCTGCCGTTGGAGTCGAACTCGCTAAGCGGCGATGCTAGCCTGAGCAGCCTGTGTAACACCGAACTTTGGTTAGGACAGCAGTGATGTGCTGGAGTGGAGAAAGGAGTGACCCGGGAAAAGCAGCCCGATCCTCTTCTTGTCAGTGTGTGGTAGCATTTGAAAGAAGTTATTCGTGACTGACCTCTTTTTGCGGCTGTAGAGGCCGATGAGATCCTTCCTCTGTCCAGAGATGAGACATAGCGGCATGGAGTAGGTGAGTAAAGTGACGAGTAAAGTGACGAGTAAAGTGACGAGCCAAGTGACGCTTTTAGTGATCATAATCGTGCTTCAAGAGTTAGCAAGTTGCCGGCAGCAGGCGTGGTTGGCAGTGTAGCTGAGCAGGGATCAGTGAGGATTTAAAGGGACTACTTTGGTGAGAGAATGGGCTGTGATTGGTGGGTGACTGACGAGCTCCCATAAACCGTAATCGGTAGCTGACAGCTGAGCACATGACTCCGTGTCCTGCATGAACTAACGCAATGCTGCATTAAAGGTACAGTGTGTAGAATTTTGTGATATCTAGTGTTGAAATTGCATGTTGCAGCTGAACACCCCTCAACTCACCCTCTCCTTCCAAACATTAAAAATAATCCATGGCAGCCTTCAGCTGTCATAAAAACTCAAAAAGTTTAGTTTAGTTTGTCCAGTCTGGACTAATGTATAAAACATGGCTGCCTCTGTAGAGAGGGTCCCCTCAATGTAAATATAAAGTGTTTGAATATAAAGGGCCTTTTCTGGGGTAAAGAAAACTCCAATTCATATAATTTAGATGAAATGAACTAGTGAAAACATCATGAGGATCATTCTACATTAATATATATGTATATAATAATAACAATGATGATAAATAATAATATTAATGATATTAATTGTAATAATTGTTGTCATGCGGATCCTGCAGCTCTGAAGTCAGAGATACCTGCAGTTAGACAGCATAACTGGTAACACCGGTGAAGTTGTTCAAGACTCATGTGTGACTACATTCACAAATCTTATCTGCTCTCTTTAACTGGTAGATCTGTCAGTGTGTTGTGCTTTACAAAAAGCTAAAATCACCACTGAACAATTTAAGGAACAAAAATCAGGTTACACGTGCATATATGTATAATAATAAGTAAATTAAAGTCTTCTGTAACAAGATAAATATAGACAAATCTATGACCTAGGAGGACACCTGATCCTCCCATTTTTTATGGACTGCAAGAAATGATTAGTAACTGTGTTTGTGTTAATGGAAATGTAGCTAACATTCCTGGCCCGAGCTGAGTTTTAGGAAACTAGATACTAAGGCCAGCAGTTTGACCTCCACCCAATCCTCATACCAAAAAAGCCCCATTTCAGACATGAAATGAAAAAGACAGGTTGCTGTTCTTCTAAATGTTTATAACCTGACACCACTTATGTTATATATATATATATATATATATATATATATATATATGTTATATCACTGGAACTGCAGATTATTCAGAACTTTATGTTAACAAAGGAACTGGCCGAGAGGGGTGACTCCAAGAAGCCATGTTCAGCTAAACATCAGTGCTTCTATTCACACTTGGAGCAGGGACTCACCATCAGGAGATATTACAGACATAGGCCATCAAACTGTCAAACAAAAGGTGCATTTGACTTTATGCAGCACTGCGCCGTGCAGAGTTATGTGATACATGCTGGTTAGAATTTTTTTCCAACTTCAGCGCTGCTCATTTGACCTTAAAACATTGCTGCTGTGCCTGGAGGAGAGCAAAAGCACTTCTTAAGCTGCAGCTCTCGCGGTTCTGGCAGGAGTTCTGTAAACTTATGGGTGCCACTGCGAGCCTCACATCAGGTTACCACCCAGAGGTGAACGGCCAGACGGAGCGTCTCAATCAGCAGCTGGAAACCGGCCTCCGGTGCCTGGTGGCACAGAACCCCGCGTCCTGGAGCAAACAGCTGACATGGGTCGAGTACGCCCATAATTCCCTTCCCACCTCAGCTACCGGTATGTCCCCTTTTGAGTGTGTTTTTGGTTACCAACCCCCGGCCTTTTCTGAGTCCGAACCTGAGGTGTCTGTCCCCTCCGCCTATGCCCTAATCCGCCGCTGCTGCCGCATCTGGGCCGCAGCGTGAGATACGCTACTATGACAAGGGGGCAGAGTCAAAAGGGCAGCAGACCACAGGAGGCTCTCCGCCAAGGAACTGCCTCTTCAGGTGGAGTCACGTAAACTGGCTCCACGCTTCGTCGGTCTGTTCCCCATCACCAGGATTATCAATCTAGCGGCTGTGCATCTTCGTCTGCCTCAGTCCCTCCGAGTAGATCCCACCTTCCACATAAGATCAAGCCGGTCTGAAAAATTGCTCTGTTGCCAGCTACCAAGCCACCCCCGTCTCCCCGAATGGTCAATGGAGGGCCAGTTAACACTGTAAAGAAACTGCTGGCAGTGCGTAAACGGGGCCGGGACAGGCCATTCCTGGTGGACTGGGTGGGGTATGGACCTGAAGAACGCCAATGGGTTCCGGCCAGTTTCATCATGGACTATGACCTCATCAGTGACTTTTATAAAGAGCATCTGGACAATCCAGGGCCGCCTGGTATTCGGCCATAGYGGGGGGGGGGGGGTAATGTCACACCGCAGTAAGGTTAAGTTATGGTTAGTGTAGTTTAGTTATCTTTTGATATTGTCCCTTCAGAGGAGATTTTTGTTTATATATGTTAGAAGTGTTGTTCCCCATTGTAGGAGTTTTATTTAAGTATATGTTAATAGTGTTTCCCTCTTAGGAGGAGATTAATTTTTGTAACTAGTTATAGCTTATCCCTCATTTTAGGAGTTTTGTTTTAGTTAATTAGGAGGAGATTTAATTTGTAACTCATTTTCATAGCATTTTCCCTCTTTTCGGAGTAGATTTCTGTTAAGTGTTGTTTTTCTCTTATCCCCACATGGAAGGTAGGATTTTCATTTGTAAGTTTTGCAATCATTCCCTCTTTTTCGAGGCGCCCTCTGTTCTCTAGTTTATTGTATTTGTTTGACAAATAAACACCTGATCATTATCAACTCTGCGTCCGAGTCCTACCTTCAAGTTGTGTGCGTGAAGTGGAGTCCACCTCTGTAATGAAACAACTCTGCTCTGATTGGCCAGAGGCTTCACTGACAGGCATGCTTTGTCTTGTGGTTTTACTATAAAAAATGCAGTTGCGTTTTCTGCTTCGTATATTCATAAATGTAGATTGCTTTACTATTTGGTTTTCCATGCAGCAAATGTTTTTATGCAATATGTTACATGTTTGGCAGGTCTGGGCATGGTTGTGACTTTCCTCAGCAGGTCCCTGGCACACCTGCAGCTGATCACTTATTGCCTGCTGCAGTATAAGAACCCCGGTCTTCCCTCCACTCATCGCCAGATTATACAGTCTACCACCCTGTATTGGCTTAATACTACTTTGGGTCCATGTAACTTGTGATCTGTTTAACCTTATATAAAAGGACATAAGATATAACACATTTCATACACATTTGTCAATAACATTATCACCACACAATCCATTTAATCATATTCAGCTACCAAATTCTGTGGCTAGTTAAGATGAGTTTTATTCACTGCACAGTGAAGACAAAAATCACTGCAAGGCAACACAATTATTTCTAATGGTCAACATCCAGAGTGAGTATTTATACTATTACATCAAGGCACATCTAAAACTGGGTTGAGCTAAACATAGGATCTGTGTGAGAAGGTGAATACAATTTAGGAAGTCCAGGACAAGCAAATTTACGATACAAATAGCTTCTGTTTGCCAGTTAACCATTTGGTCATTCCCTTCGACACTTCTGCTTGATTTATGGTGCATTAGTGAATATTATTAGAAGGAAATATTTTTCTGCTACAGAAGAGAACGAAGATCCACTGAATCAAGAATTCACAAATTCATGATCTAAGACAGATTATTAATTCAATTATGTACATTTGCTCCAATAGGAGCTGGTACCCCCTTCTCATAACAAGTGCAAATTAATCTCAATTGGTCTGTTTTTTTCTAGTCTAAAGGACCACTCAAATCACTTTCCACTATTCACATTCAAACAGTGAATCTATATATAGCACTTCTTGACTGACACAGCCGATTCTCATACACTAATCGCACAGCCATCAGGAGCAATCTTTGCTGAGGACAACTTAACAGGCCCCACCCGTCCATTGTGTGTGCGTGTATGTGTGCGTGCGTGTGTGTGTATATATGAAATTAGGGAGACAAGGGGATAAAGAACCGCTAGATTACACTCTGTGACAGAGGCTATCTCATTAGTGATAATGACTCCCTGAGCCCAGCACCCTAGCAACAAAAAACACACAGATACATATTTTTTGGAGTTAAACATACAATCTCATCTGATTCCCTCAGAGACGACAATTTGTAAACACATACACATACACAGCTACTCACTCGCCAAAGTCAGTCTCTTCCTTGTTACTTGATGCTTCACCCAGCTTCTGCACTGCCACTGTTATGTGTTACTCCTACTTTGTTAACATAAATTCCAAAATACACTGTGGCAGTAGACCATGCCACGGGGCTCTCACCACAGCAGCCAGAGACGAACCATTCTGGTTTAAGCATTTTTATTAAACTTTAAACAAAACTCTTCATAATACAACTTAAAGTGTCCAGCTATCTCAGCTGTCTGTGTGTGTATGTGTGTGTGTTTCTTCTGAGTCTTCTCCCAGGAGGCAGCTCTGCAGCTGCCTTTTAAGCCTGAGGATCAATCAGTTAACATCTCTCACCTGCGCTGATTGATCCTCAGTGGTGCACGTGAAGGTGCTCTCCCAGCCCCCTAACCTCCACATACACAAACATAAATGACCCAGCATTAATCTTTTCAGGTCAAGTAGCAGCTCAGCTGAGTTTAGTTGTATCTCCTCACCAGTCTCCATGTGTCAATCACCTTGTTGGCTTTTTCAGCTGCCTTTTAAGCTCCCTTGTGCACTGATTACCCCCTATTACAACTTGAGGTGCCAGTCACCAGGGACATGAGCATTATCCATCTGCACCAAACTTCACATGTTTGATAATAGTCCCGGCCTGAACGCATCTACATGCCAATATTCAGTGATAGTCATAACGCCCCCTACTGGCAATAACAAATTATATGTTTTGTACTGTGATGTACTGACGATTTGGTCAGAAGAACCCTTTGACGTGACCATAGGCTTTGAATCTTGATTATTTCTTG